GTTCTCTGTGAGTCACGTCTTCCTCGGCTCCATTCATGCAGCTGTTGCTTTCTGGGAGACGTACAGTAGCAGATCCCATCATGTGAGGGATGGAGAGAGGGGAGGAGGAGGAGAGAGGATGGAGAATTAATGAGTCACAGTTCCTGCTAACGTAACAGGCTTCTATTGCCGGGATACCACAGCCATCCGGGATAGCCCTTCCTGGGTCCGTCAAGTTAGGGGCTCCCAATCTTTTTCTGTTAACTACTTCTGCCATTTAGGCTGCGACAGTTCATGTGATTTAAACTCTGCTGGTTGGGACGCGTTAATCTGGGATGGGCTTTGGGCTCGTTGAGCAGCATCAGGGAAGGGGCAACAGCAAGACCCCTCCCTCCATCGCTGGGGAAGGGATAAATCCAGAGATTTGTTTATATGTAATCTGATTACTGTGCTTTATTATCGGCTCTCGGGATCATCTCTGAATCTTTTGGTGTCATCGCAGCTGTTTAGCTTAATAGGCTGGTTTATTAAAGGCCGTTAATCCATCTTTCAGAGCCCACGACCAGATGTGTTGACTTCAGTCAGTGTCAACAAAATGTTTTGGATTTTTCTTTTCTTTTTTTCAGCTTTAGGTGATGTTTTGTCTCGGCAAAGGGAAATCTGAGTTTTTCAGGAATTTGGCATTGAAACGCGCAGGCCAATGGGTCAAAAAGTCTGCACGTTTTCGCCCTAAAAAGCCGCAGTGTGTCTCCTTTTCTGTGCTCTTAACTCACCAGGGGCAGCAATTTTGTTGGAGCAGGAGGCAGATGTTTGTACAGTCCATACAGTTTGTGTGCGAGTGCGCACGTGGGGAGGGGTTATCACACGGCGGCGGAGGGGTGTGGGGGCGGGGGGCGGCCTGGATTTCATCTCTGATTTGTGACCATCTGCCTCCTCCAGGCAGCTGCCGAGCAGAGCAGAGCCCCGCCTGTGCCGTCCCAATGCCCCATGGGATTTACAGAGAGGTCACCACTGCTGCTGGAGACACACTGTCACCTAATACTCCCAAACAATCAGCTCCAGCGATCACACACGCGCGCACCCATATGCTCACAGACGGGGAGAGGAGATCCATGGAAGTGTCAGAGACCATGCAGCCGAGAGACCGGAAGAGCAGAAGCATCATCACGGCAAAAGCAAAGCACCACATGCAACAGCAGAAAAGATAGGGGAGGAAGAGAAAGGGGGTCGGCGACAGAGAGAGAGAGAGAATGGATTTCCCCCTCTTTGTTGCCATGGCGACTGCAGTGGATGGTGGATGACTGATTTCCTGTACAGCTGTGGAGTGAGGGAAAGAGGTGGGGCTTGATGAAGAAAAAGGAAAGCAGGCCTGTTTTTTTCTTCAACTATTATGTCAACGCCTTTGTGCTGATATTTTGTCTGGTTTGGAATATTTTGACTCTGCAGAATTTAAGGCTCACATAAATGAGAAACTCAGGCCGGAGTTGCTGTGCTCCTGAAGCTATAGAGTACAAAGGGATCTGCAGGAAAACGGTTCATGCTGAAGAGCAAAGGCATATAGAAAACTAAAAGGGTTGATTTTTGTATAAACTTTTTTTAAAATCAAATTAAAAAAACAGCCCATATTCTAATTGAATATCCATATTTCGTAAAGTTTAAAAATACATGAAAAATGTATTTACTCATCAAGTACAGGCATCCATACTGTCTTAATCCAGGTTATGAATATCAAAATAGAAATATTTCACCCAAGAGTTCTTGGAAGAGTTTGAAAGAAATTTTGAAAAAACTATCTGTTATTTCAATTTTATTTTTTGCAGAGGTTATATTTATATCCCTGGGGGAACTTCAAAGTGAAAATATTGCCTGTCATTAGTTTAGAAAAAAAATCCAAATTGAACCATTTTAGCCTGTCCAACACTAGTGTTTTCCCTTAAAAGACGAAAATCCCAAAAGTTTACCACTTTTAGCTCAACAGCTAGCTTTAGCTTAGCAGATAGCTCCAGCCCGGTAGCCAGTTTTAGTTTAGCCTTTAGCTTTATTCTAAAATTGATACATTTTAAAGGAGCTTCAATTGGTTCTGAGGGTTTGCACGTAATTAGCACGTGCTATTCCAATGTAAAACAAGAGATGTCTAATTGCCCTTCTAAAGTTGTTGGTATTTTGTGGACCAGCATTAAAATTCTGGTTTGAACGAATTTGTTATCAGTGTATTTTGTCTGCATTTCTCATTGTCTAGAGGTCAACTAAAAAGCACACGATCCAAATATTTTCGTTTTCTATAAAGAATTTTAGACTTGTTGATGCCTTTTCTTTTTTTTTTTTCAAATTAAATGCGTGACGTGGGACATACAAATGACTTACCACACGATAAGCAACCAGCTGACCCAAAACCACAGAGCATAGGACAGGAGAGAGACGCCGGGCTGTGGCTGTTTTTTGGGGAAATGGCGCCCCCTGCTGGTGGAACCGACACCTCACACGGCTGTGAGGCCGTCCCACCAGAGGGCGCAGGAACCCCGGGGAACGGAGCTGAACACCCCGCTGCTTTACAGCCACAATCTAAAACGATCATTTAGCATTGGAGAAATCCAAAGATAAGAATTGACCTCCCATATTCTGTTCCGATTGATGTTTCTTCCCACACCTTGTCGTCACCGATCAGAAATAACCAGGCAATAACAAGGTTTTGGTAAATAAATGTACCTATTTATTGAATATTGAGAGCATTAGTACCAACAAGGCACGGACCAGACTTCATTATAACAAAACTTTTTTTCCCTTTTTTTTTTCTTGACAATAGGGTGACAAAAACATTTTTTGAAATTTTATTTTGCAGGAGGATCCTTTCACAGAAAGGATTATGGACACAAACGTAGAGACTCTTGCAAATTGTAAGTATGACCAAGTACTGACACCGGAGAAGCAAGTGATGGACAACTAATGACCCCCTTTTAAGGGCCGTATGGCTATGTACCTTAACACATGCTGTTTTAATATAAGAAACATTGCTGTCTACCAAAATACCACTTCAGACAGCCTCCAACAACGAGTAAGTATGAGTTCAAACAGACAGTAAGAAATATAGAAGTTGCTCGTAATTACACAGCAATATCAGGTCAATGTGTGTGTTACGCATTACAAAAACGCCTCTTGTTAAAAAAAAAACCTTTTCTGATACTTAAAGCTGACCTCGTCAGAGAGAGAGAAGAAGAAAAAAAATCTTGTACTGCTAAAACTGAGTTTGGCAACTTTCGCGCAACAAACTAAACTAAACTAAACCAGCCAGAGGATCCAGATTTCTGAAATTGAGCATGTTATTTACCAGCCTATATGGAAAAAAAATATCTTTCTGATACTTTGTATAGATGGAAGCATGAAACTTGTTATTTGAACCAACATCGCGCATGCATGTTCACACATTTTTGTAAGTTTTGAGATACTCCACTCACACTACCCGTTTGCTTAGATCTGCTTCTCCTCTAGATGGCTGTGCTGTTTATTCCCATGCTTTGACATTGGCACACAGCACCACACGCCAATAGCTTGCCCTGAAGGTACTTGATCGATATCTGCAAGAACTAATGCGCTTGAGCTCTGCACCCGCACACGGAGCATTTTATTCACCTGTTTTGATCATCTTTCTAATATTGCCTCGCGTCCATTCGCTGAGCCTCCCCTAATACTGTTAGGAACCCCCTCACATTTGCTTTTCGTATGCTGTGACGTAGTCACCGGACAGATGTCAGCGTGGCTTGATCGCTAATGTTTGGCACCAAACTGAATGTTAGTCAAAATGACTTATTATTCCTGCAAATTCATCTCTTGGAAAAACAAAAAAAAACAAAACGCCGTTACTGATATAAAAAAAAAACAGAAACACTTAAATAATTCATTCGAATAACCCTGCAGCATGGTTTGGATCCCTTCCAGAGGTTATGTGGTACTTGAGTAACAGCTTGCAATGGAAGCCGTCAGGCCCCGCTTCTCTTGAATCGAATCACACCACCAGATCAGACCAGTTCCTCTGGTCGGGAGGCACAAACCTTTAATACTGTCCCGTACACTCAGTGGAAACGTAGAGGGACCCATGTCGCAGGCGAGGACGATTATCGAACAGACCTGATGCATATATAAACACACGGAAAAGAAACGTCTGCTACTGGGATGTAACATTAAGAAAAGATAAAAAAAGGTAACAGGTTCCAGTTTGCCTGCGTGGCTTCGTTTTTGGCTGGGAGCCAGGCGAGTCTCCATTTTGGCTTTAGATTACACGGGAACTTATTCCGGCCACAGAGAGCTGCGTGCAGGTCAGGACCTGCGGGAGCTCGCTCTGCCTCATTCCTCCCGGGGAACGGGGCTGCGCTTCGCAGGACTTAAAATGGCGTTAAATCCTACCCGTTCTGATATTTAAATGCTGGGAAGCTTGCTCAGCCTGCTGAAGAAGTTGAGATAAAGCAGGACTCTCACTGGCTCGAAAGGTTGACTCGGGGCGGGGGCGTGATTGTCAAGGCGAGCGCTGACCACCTGCATAGTATGAAGAAGGCACGACGGCTGTGTGTGTGCGGGGGGTCCAGTCTCGGGGGTGTGTTAGAGGACAGAGGACAGGAGAAGATGAGACGGCTGGGGACTGTGGGGGGCCACCCCTCCCGGATGTCCCGTCACACTGGAAGAGTGGTGAAGATGCAGGGGATTCGGTTTTCGGTCTATTCCCGTTTCTTTTCTTTGGTTTGTGGCGCAGAGCGAATCTGTCCATCGTTTGTTCAACAGGAAACCTCCAAGGCGGGAGGCTGTCTGCTACACGCAGTCTTTTCTCGACTGTAGGAAAGACACAAATCTGAGCTAACATCAAGGCGGAAACATCCCTTTTGTTTTCCTTTTACAGAGGGCAGGAGGTTGGGTTACGTTTGAAGAACACGGGTGCCACTTTATAACTCCCCCCCCACCCCGCGGCGCCTCTCGTTTCCTGATACGGCTCCACGTCCGACACGGCGAGCATGCGGCCATTGGCTCCGCCTCCCTCACACCACGAACTCGGGCACCTCTTCGCTGGTCAGGTCCAGAGAGAAGTACTTGTTGGTCCTCTTGATGGGGAACGGGTGCTGCTCGGCGAGCATGGCGGCGCGCTGCTCGGCCAGGGCCTGGTAGCCGCCGCCCCCGCCGCCGCCGCC